CTTGATCAATACTAATTAAATAACCTTATTAATATATTAGAACTTATAATATATTAACAAACCTTAAGTGTTATTTCTCTCATTTTAGTCTATCCAAATGCATGATGCCATGCAACCCAAATGGACCATGCCGGGTCGGGTCAAGTCTTACCAATTATAGTTATGGACTTAGACATTAATCCAACAAATACACCCAAACACACACACACACACACAACCACCCTTCACAGTGGCTGATGGCGGCAGAAAATGATGGCAACCACCACTATGAGGTGGTGGCGGTGGGTTTCTAGTCAAATAACACCCATATTTCCACATTCACCACATGACAGAAACCCAATCATATAAACCACACAGGACCAAGGCTCCCCAGCCACCGACTAGGAGGTCGAGGTCATTGGAATGAGTAGAAATGGCGGTGCATGGGCCGCTGGTACCCACAGTCATCACACATAACATCAAATTGCCAAAAAGAACGAAGGAGGGGAGAGATAAGTCACGGTTAACCTTACTGAGGGCCTTCCCGTCGTTCACAACCTCACGACTTCCTTCCATCGGTCTCGGCGATCTTCTAATTGCACACATCGACTCCGACAGCAGGTTGCGGTGGTGACGCTACAATGGCGAGGCATCAGGCGGCGGACGGGTTTGGCGACGAAAGCGGCGGTTGAGGAAGCTCTTGACGATGGCGGCTGAATTCCTTGCTCGTTCTAGGGTTTAGATGCTCCAACGGGAGGAAAAAGGATGGCACCGATTAATACCGTGCCCATCCAATCTTCATGCAATTTTGACACTAATAGCCCCACCCCTTCGAAATTTTTTCAACTTAAGTCTTGAAATTACCCTTTACCTCCTGCCTCCAAAAGTTCTTTCATAATAAGCGCCAAAGTTACCAAACACACCCTAACTTTGAAATTCTTCACAAATCAAATCCATAATTTACTACTCCACCTTCAAGATTCTTTACGAACTAATCCAGAATTTATACTTTTAACCCCCGAAAGTCCAAATTATATCATTTGGCTCCCCGAAACCACTCTCCGCTAGATATTATCGGTTTTAGGGCCACTAATAAATAATTTAAATTGTAAATTTACATCTTAGGGCTCCGGGTTTACTATTTATTTTAATTAATTTAAACGGAATGTTACAGAAAGTTAAAAATTTGTTGAAATTTTTTTACGTTACATTTGAAGTCGGGTCTTACAACAACATAAAAGAAAACATTTGCGGGAGATATGTTGGCTATTGATTTCCAAACCATTCCCAAGGAGGTGGGATATTTCTTGAAGTGTGCAAGTTCTAATTTTGTCTCGAGATTGACTTCAAAAGAACAACAATATGGTGGACTTGAGGAGGCTGTTGAGATAAGACAAAAAGCCCCTATTGTTGTTGTTATGGTATGTGGGGCCAGTAGCTTGAAGTGAGCATGAGAGTCCACTGGATATCGGCCGATGGAGGCACAAATACCCAACCATATTGTTTGGTGTTGATGATGACGCAAGGGAAGCATGACACGTTACCTATTGTCGTTGTCGCTGTGACTGGCCGCTATTTGGTTGTTGTTGTGACTGGCCATTATTTAGTTGTTGTCGGCGGTCCCGTGGTTGCTGGCGACGATCATTCTGGTGGTCGGCCCAACGAGTGTTAGTCCCTAAGGCAGTATGAAGAATTTTAGGAGAGAATGAGTTATCGGAGTGAGCCGGGACAACATGAACATACATTTGATTGAAGCGTGATTCTTCCAATAAAATAATTGATCTTGTTTTTAAAAAGGTGGGGAATGGGCTGCAATGACGAAGCAATGTCACAATGTTGTCAAAATGAGAAGATAGACCATTGATAGTGTAATTACCAAGTGTTTGTCCGATATTTTGGAGGATGCATCAGGGTTTTCGAGGAGATCGACAATATTTTTGATTTTTGTGCCGTAAGCTTGAACGGAGAGGTCTCCCATGGAGATGGTTAGGAGTTCGCTATCAAGTTGCAGGATGCAATAATCTTTGTTGTCTTAAAATAGCTTCTTAATATTAAGTCAAAGTTGACGAGCCTTAGTGTTGGTTTTGATGACGGTGTTGACTAAGTTTTGTGAGAGATTCATGTAGATCCAAGTACGGATGACAACGTCCACCTTTTTCCATTGAGGATCGGTGGATGGAATGACAGGAACATTGAAGGTTCCGTCGATGTGCACTACAAGAATGTCATCATTTGCACTACATTGACCGTCTGACTTTGACCAAAAGGGCTATGCCAACGACAAGTCGTCGGTATAGACTGGGCGGGAAACGTTAAAATATTGGTGGTATATCGAAAAGCTTTACCAACGACTTGTCGTTTGGAAAATGCACTAAAAAAATATTGTCGATTTATTTTAATTCCTTGTAGCAGAAAGTCAAGACGCCGTCGTTATTGTCATCGTATACCGCAACATGTCATCGGTATAGGTTGATTAAAAATTAATTTCATTTTATTTTTTATCCGTGTTGCAGAAATGGAAAACGATGTCGTTTCGTCAAGCTATACCGACGACATGTCGTCGGGAAAAGGTGGGTACGATCCGCGTGAAATCCCTTATTTTATTTTTTAATGACGTGAAGTAATATGACGACCTTTTGTTTTACCTATATTGACAACATGTCGTCGGTATAGGGTTTCCCTTGTAACAAAACACCCTTTCAGCTTTCTTTTTGCAGTCGGGCCAACACCATTTCTCTCTTACAGGTTCGTCGGCAATCGCAAGGGCTTTCCAGCTATCGAGTTCATCAGCCACCAAGGTAAGGGTTTTGGTGCTTGATTGCTTCTTAATTTGTAATAGTTTGGTCCTTGATTTGTAATAATTTGGAGCCCTAAATCACAACCCCATTTCTCTATTGATTGACAAGAAGGTTCACCACCCCCATAGAAAAGGAATTTCAGTGATTGACCACATTTTGAGGTTAGTTTATTGAGTTTTTTTTCCTGCTTAAACTACCACACTGACGATCCAGTTTATGATTTTTTTTATTGTTCCTTTCAATACACCATGATATGTATATGCATTTGTTTATGCACCATAATGTTGGATAAATCTTAAATGTCTAAATGTTAAATATGTGAAAACAGGGTATAAGACCACATTTTGCTTTCTAAGTGCATACAGGGTTATATATTCTACTTATCTACAAGTAAAAGTGAATGATAGAAGGCTATAAGATCTTGATAATCAGATAAGAACTTAATTACACTCATTAATTTAGTTTCCCAACTCCTAGGAGAGATAGTGATAAAAAATCTTAAACTACATACACATACAATTTTGCCCTAATGAAGATTGAAGAGGCAGGCTATGATTTGTGAAAGCACTAACAAAGAGCATGCATCAATGTCAATCATATATAAATATAAAAATAAATAAGAAAAATAAAGGAAAAAGTTACAATGATATAACTGATACAACTAGAAACTCTAAAAAAAACTTAAGAGTAAGTTATATATGGACATTATCTTTTGACTTAATACATAAAAAACAATAATTAACTACAGAATAACCCCGAAACATCCAATGAACACGAGGAGGATGATGATGATGTTGATGATGGTGGTGATGATGACGATGAGGAGGAGGAGGAGAACTAGAACGATAGTGACAACAATGTTTGTTAAAACTTGCTTTTTTTGTTATGTAGTAGAATATGAATGATATGGTATGTAGTAGAATTTAAATGGTATGTTAGGTTTATTAAGTGTTTTTGGATTTTAGTGGTATGCTATGTTATGTTATATTTATATTATTCTGCAAATATCTTTTTTGGATTTGTTTTAAGAAACAGATTTTGTATATATAACAAAAGCTGTGAAAAAAAAAACAGGCTATGCCGACAGCTTCGCAACGGTAAAAACGGTTTTCACCTTTCCAGACGACATATCGTCGGTATTACACACTTTTCCCGACGACAAGTCGTCAGTAAGTCCCGAATAAAAAAATTTCTTATTTCCTCGAAAATCAATCCCGACGATCCTTTGCCGACGACTTATCGTCTGGATTGGTTATTTTATACCGATGACTCCTGTCCCGACGACATTTTCGACTTTTAACGACAACTTTTTATAGACAACATGTCGTCGGTATAAGCTTTACCGACGACAAGTCGTCGGTACAGGGTCCCTAATTGTCATTTGCATAAGGCTCGATCCTTGTAGTGGTGGTCAAGGCCATCATAGGCTTCACAATAAGTAGTGAAGAATTCGCGCGCCACGTATCATAATTGTGTCGACTGCGATAGAGAAGGATGGGTATGTGAGCCTTAAATTAATGTAACAACAAAAGCTTTATGAATTTGAAGAGTAGTACTCAATCTGCATCACCTTCTTCCATTATATGGTGTTGTATGGTGTCTTTCATCCTAATTTCTAAGGCTTTCGGATAAGTTTCTACTTCTTCATTTTCAGCATCAGTAAGTAATTTACTGACAGAGAATATGTAAACTCGTGCTTTGTATTCGTAACGGTAATGAGGAAAATGGAAAATCAGACTCCACAACTCAACATGTTAAAACTAAAGCACTTACAAATGGTAACGATCGAATTTTGGAGTCACTACATGATAGTGGATTTCACACTCAAATTTTAACTAGTACAAAATTAACTTACATAATAGAATGAAATAAGTAATTAGTAATTATTAGAGGTCGTGCATTTCGTTTGTGATTATGAAACAAGATGAAATTGTTAAGTGCTACAGAATAAAAAAAATTGAGAGTTCATACACTTGTACCAACAATTTTTATTTTATTTTATTTCTTTTTTCATTGTGGAATACTAATAATCAAATCGCATTTCATTTCCAAATCAGTGGTCTCTTAGAAATTGGTCTTTTTCTATTTTCCTTTTACACTTTCAATTTCTCATTGGTGATTTTCATCAGGTCGTGTGAATTGCAGATGAAGAAGCATATGCATCTCATTGTTGATTTTGAATAGGCTCTTCAAATTGATAGTCCATGGGGTGGGGTGGGGAGCTTGTAATCTACTGTATTTCGTTTTTATTTTTGGTGGCTGAGAATCAACGCATCAAGAAATCAGAGAACCACGTGGCAGAAAGAAGGACTCTCAAAATCAGAAACCAAATCCAGTAAACCAATGAGATGATGCTGACGTGTACTCAACCTAATCCATCCATCTTATTAAATTCCTTATATAACCCTCCATTACTCTCCACCACCAACACCAACACACATCAACTACAAACTACCATTTTTACAAACCCCTCAAAGAAATGGCAACCACCGCAATCCAACAGTCAGCATTCGCCGGCCAGGCAACATTGAAGCCACAAAGCGAACTTGTCAAGAAGACCGGCAGCTTCAATGGTGGCCGCTTCACCATGCGCCGCACAGTCAAAAGTGCACCACAAAGCATTTGGTAAAATTCACAAATCGATGTTCTTCTTGTTTCCAGATTCATATATCGCTACCAGAACTAACTAACTGTAATCACCATCTTTAAACAGGTATGGACCGGATCGTCCAAAGTACTTGGGTCCATTTTCCGAGCAAACCCCATCATACTTGACCGGTGAATTCCCCGGTGACTACGGGTGGGATACCGCCGGACTCTCAGCCGACCCGGAGACATTCGCCAAGAACCGTGAGCTGGAAGTGATCCACTCTCGGTGGGCCATGCTGGGTGCACTCGGGTGCGTCTTCCCGGAGCTTCTCTCCAAAAACGGTGTCACATTCGGTGAAGCAGTCTGGTTCAAGGCGGGTTCCCAGATTTTCTCAGAAGGTGGTCTTGACTACCTTGGAAACCCTAATTTGATCCATGCCCAAAGCATTCTTGCTATCTGGGCATCTCAGGTTGTCCTCATGGGGCTCATTGAAGGATACCGGGTTGGTGGGGGCCCGCTTGGCGAAGGGCTTGATAAGATTTATCCGGGTGGGTCTTTTGACCCGCTTGGATTGGCTGATGACCCGGAAGCTTTTGCTGAATTGAAGGTTAAAGAGCTTAAAAACGGAAGATTGGCGATGTTTTCTATGTTTGGATTCTTTGTTCAGGCTATTGTTACAGGGAAGGGTCCGATTGAGAATTTGTTTGACCATCTTGCTGACCCGGTTGCTAACAATGCTTGGGCTTATGCTACCAACTTTGTGCCCGGAAAATGAGTGTAATATGTGTAGATTTAAACCCTTATGCAATATCAAGAAATTATTTCACTTAATCTTCTGATCTTTATTTTCTTGAGTTAATATCTTTATGATTATGTTATGGAAGTGGTTCATGTTGTAGCAACACTGAATCAAAATGCCTTTGGCCTAGCGGGAGTGCCAAAGGTTACAGGTTCTAGTCTTGTGCACGGAAGGTGTAGATTTACGATATTGAAATGTATTGACCGGATCATCATAAGTGACTTTTCGTTGCAAGCTAACTATTATTTTGCAAAAATACTATAAGCAACATCACGGTGTTGCAATAACGAACTGCTTTCAAAAAGCTAGATGAATGTAAAAAACAAAGCACTCATGTACTTCCTATTGCTTAATATCGTTGTACATGATGCAACTTTTGGAAGGGCTAAATACAAAAAGTAGCAATGTACTTTCAGTTATGTCACATTTTATCCAAATACTTTTGCATTTCATATTTGATCTTCAATGTTTTCTTTGAGTGATCGCCCATCAGTGATGTATCCTATGGTGATTATTATGTATAAGATTTTCAAGTGTGAGTATCTTTGAATGTCAAAAGGCTTTAATCTGTATATCTTGGCAATTTGAGTGTCTTCTCAATTTTATTAATTTATTAGATTTCGCCAATTCAAGAAGGTGTTTAATTAATGGGGTTTAGGTTATTTTTGGTCACTTAATTTTTGGTTTTGTGCTCATTTGGTCACATAACTTTTTTTAAGTTTTAAAAGGTCGTCAAATTTTTAGTTTTGTGCTCATTTAGTCACTTAACTTTTGGTTTGGTCACTTAGCTTTTGGATTTGTACTCATTTAGTCACCTAACTTTTAAAATTGTGCTTATTTATTCACTAAACTTTTAAAAATTTTCAAAAGTTTTAGTGACTAAATGAGTATAATTTTAAAAGTTAGGTGGCTAAATGAGCATAAATCCAAAAGTTAAGTGACCAAACTAAAAGTAAGTGACTAAATGAATACAAAGCCAAAATTTTGATGACTTTTTAAAACTTAAAAATAGTTAAGTAACCAAATGAATATAAAATCAAAAGTTAAGTGACCAAAAATGACCTGAACCATTAATTAATATGTAGGTTTGTATTTGGGAAGTATCCACCCAAAGTTACAGAACATCAAGAGATTTTGCTTTGGAAGGTTATAAACTTGTTCCAAAGGAGAAGGTATGTATAGCCTATTCTTCTAGTTTTTGGATGTCCCATTTTGCCATTTCATTGTTAGATTCAGGTAATGTTATCAGTATCTTTATTATTATCTTATGGTTAGTTTCTGTCAAATTATGGAAGGCGGTAAACTTCTTTGAAAAGAGAATGTATTTATAGTTTTTAATTTATTAAAAGTGATTAATATAATAATTTGGTAAAGTATTATATTTTGAAAGATGGAAAATGACACCGTAAAATGACACTGTAGCACAACTAAGTTTCGAATTTTTCCTGAAAGTTTTTTTTTTTTTTTTTTTTTACGTAATAGGTTCCTAAAGTATCAATTTACATGTCCTATTAAATAATGGAATAATTCGATTTCACCGATAACCTTTAGTCCACATGGATTTTTTTTTTTCAAAATTAGCAATTGAAACTTATCTATGTGGAAGACAAATACATAAAACCTTACCTCATTTGCCCCTCCTCCTTCCTAAACGAGGCACGCAACCATTTCGAACCATTTATTCTCCACGAGCATCCACAGCCAAGATGTAATTGGAGTGTTTACTGATATTTTAGTTACGATTGGGTAACAGATGCGAGAGAAGGAAAGTTAAGGAATCGAGAAATAAGGAAGCATTAGTGCATATCGGTGTTGGTTTCAAGAACAGCAACCATGCTGCTGCCAGAAGCTATGGTGATCAGAGAAAGATTGAAGTTTTTTAAGTGAATCAAATTCGTTTTTTGATCGATGCATTTGCCAAAGGTCCTTCAAATGGATTAGGGATGTTCTTCGGGCCGGAACTGACTCGAATCGACCAGAATACAAATAACGTGAAACCCGAATTGGATGAAAAGTGGGAACCAAAACCCAAACTGATTATATTAATAAGGGGTCGTTCGGTTCAGGTAAGACGGGTTTCGATTCGGTTATTAACCCAAAAGGCCCGAAATAACCCAAATAAACATTATACTATGTTTTTGAACCGAATAATCCAAATAAACCAAATAAACTGAAATTACCCGAATAACCTAAATAAGGAAATTCTATATCTAGTTCAAGAAAAAAAATATTAATTTAATATTTTTTTCTTGAACTAGATATAGAATCTCCTTAATTAGTTTATTTGAGTCATTTGGTTTATTTGGGTTATTAGGGTAATTTGGGTTATTCGGTTCAAGTAACTATTTATTTTCCGGGTCGGTCGTTTTGGTCTAATTCGGGTCGGTCATGCACAAGATCTTCACCTGAAACCACAGTATTATCGTCTCTAGTTTTACAATTTGTCTCTTTCCAAGTTGTAATGGAGATTGGTGGTTGTTCGTCGAAGCTCCAGCGACTGGATTGGTTCAAGGAGAAGGGGTGGTTGGTGGTAGTGCCATGTAGAAGCCATGTCAGCAGCACCACCTCGAAAATTCTATTAACCAAAGTGTCACCTAGCGAGCCATGTCACATGTGTTATCAGCTGTTTCCTTTTCCCTTCCAAAAATGGTCTATTTGATAAGTAAATGGATGCTTTAGGGAACTATTGCGCCCAAAAAAAAGTTCTTTTAATGATGAATCCATGATAAACCCAAAACTTGGTTGTGTTATAGTGTTATTTTCCATTTGAAAGATTATGAAAATTACAGATGATATTTTAAACTTGAATTTATAAGATGGATATAATAGTCGGTCTCTAAAAATAAAGATTTAAAATCATTATAAAATGGTTAAACAAGGATACGGAGAAATATGATTTTTACAAGTTTATGAAGGATATACTTTATATTTAAAAAATAGATCGTACAAATATGATATTTTAATGTAGAAAATTAGCTTATAAGAAATTATCCTTAATAAGAATGTCAAAGCATTGTTATATATACTAAATTATAGTAAATAAATCTAGAGATCGAATCTACAGAGACACATATTAAGTGTTTAATATCTCTTTACATAAAATATGAGGATCTTGACAACGATAAACAAATAATATGAAGTAAGAGAGGGTTATTCGAACAAGACCCTAAAAGTAAGCATGTAATAAAAACTAGGTTTTAGAAATCAAGTTAGAAATAATTTCAGTTTCAAGTTCTATCATCTATAATATGAATTAATTTACTAATCTAAGTTGGTACTAAACAACATTAATAAGCTCTAGGATCACTTTATTTTTCAAATTATTCAGTTATAATAAGCTATTTATCTAAACTTATGGGTGTTTGGTTTAGCTTTTCAAAGCTAAAAGTCCTTTTTGGAAAAGAAAAAAAAAAGCAAAAGATATTTGGCAAACTAGTTTTAGAAGCTACTTTTGAAGTTTTACATAAGAAAAATGAACTTTTTGGAAAAATCAGGAAATCCTGATTTTTTGTAACTTTTCCAAAAAGAACTTTTGGGGTTTGAAAAGCTAAGTCAAACACCCCCTTAACCTTACGAACTTAACATAAACAAACTTTTAGATAAAGTTGAAAGTTCCTCTAAGTTTTTTACAAGAATTTCAAAACAATGTTTAACAATTATCATACACTCAGAAGGGTAAAACTATGTGATTCAAGTTTACAATGATAATTAATTCAAACGTAAAACCAGGTCATTGTTTGTTACTAGTTTTAATTCATAAAACAATTTCGAATTTCATAAAATAATTAATAAATTTGTTAGAATTAAACTAATATTCAAAGTGGCGAATCATGAACCGAGTGAAAGTATAAGAGTAAAAATCAAACAAATTACTAGATTAAAATGAATCAAGACATCGATCCAACATAATTAGCCACACATAGATGAGAGTCAGGCTAGAAACTGGAAAAATAAGGGTTTTAACCGTTCATGGCTAAAAACAAACAATCAAAATTATAATTCTACAAGTGTAATGCATTAATTAACCTAATAAAATACAAAACAATGTTATGAATGAGTTCTTCAAACTTCGTCTTCTCCAAATCGATGTTACTGTGTCTCAAGTCAAGATAAAGTACATATCGGAACTAATGGGATATTTGTAGGCGGGAAAAACATTTTTTGTAATTCCTCCAAGTGGATTTTGCATTGTGATTCGACTTGACAAGGTGGTCTTCAACAACATGAGTGAGTATTCAACATTTCTCATCACCTCGACATAGTGGAGGTCAAGAGGAATGCCCACTCAGCCCACTTTCTTCAATATTTTCAACTTTTATGCTATTGGTCCGATCTTCCCGAAACTTGACATGCAACTCGCTAATAATATTCCAAGAATAAACAATCTTAATGTGCCACGGAAAACATCTTTTTTAAATAAGAATATTCCTTGCAATCTACAAAAAAAAAAAATTCCAAAATATCACAATGCATGAAATGTAACACTTACATGAAATGAACTTACTGAAATAAAGATGTCGAATGATGGACAAAATACATGTAACACCTTTCTTTGACTAAATACTTAATTTGACCATAAATCTATCTTTACTTTGAGATCCACTTGATCTTCAATAATATATTGCCTTTAAAAATCATCATTGGTTCAAAGGTATGGGTCTAATGCTTTAGTATAACCTACCATTTATCATGATTATCTTACATGGCCTCTACATAACACTCGGGTTGTCCTCCATCACTAAGTAAGACATACTTTTCAGCAGAATATCACTTGAAAGGGTGATCAACTATCAAAATTCTAGGGGGACAAATTATGGCATATCTAAGAACAGTAAATCCTTATGAAATCCTTATCTTGGACTGCTCTTGAGACACTAGCATCATGGATTGTGTTAAAATATTATCTAATATATGGAATAATGACTTAGGGGATGTTTGGTAAGATCTAGATTTTTAAGAGGTCTAAATTTCTAAGAGAGTCTGAATTTTTAAGATCTGAATTTTGAACATGTTTATTTAGAACCTTTGAATTTTTGTGCTTAATTATAAAAATAATCTTTTTACTCTTCTATATTATTTTTTGCAAAATTATAAAAACGTGATACAAAATCCAAATTAAACATAAATCAAAATTAAACAATCAAACATAAATATTTGACAAATCTATCCAATTATAACAGTCCAAATTGCTTTGTTTTAAATTATATGCTAATATTGATCGTATTACAGAAATTGGTGTTAATATATCTACATACAAATGCAACAATCCAAATAAACTTAAGAACTACAGCAATAAACATCAGAAAAATCACAGTGAAAACTGCATTCATTATCACCCTCATCTTGATTACATCTTGGTCATTATCAATCAAACAAATGATACATCAGATTTTATCATCCACATTGAACGTTTAAGAGAGAATATTAATAGATCTACATATAAACAGTTTTTATCATCCAAGGTTTTTTTCTGCAAAAAGATCCAAGACAAATAAATTTAAATAAATCATAAGTTGAAACAATTTCATTCGGACATTTAAAATAAACATAGGAAAGAAGTCATAGCTGATAAGTTAAACAAAATCAAACCAAAATCAGCAACATTTCATCAAAATCAAACCAAAATCAACAATATCTCATCACAATCAAACTATATTTCAAACCAAATAAATAATGTCAGCAACATAACCATAAATTCAACAATTTTTAGAACCGAATACAAGCATTTCAGCAAGTTTTACGACCGGTTTTAAGGCCATTTCACCAGTTTCGGCAAGAAAATCAAAAGAAAACATGAGATTATAAAGAAGAATACCGGTTTCAGAAGATTAGGTATGTTGCGGCTGTGCGAAGTGTTGTATGACATAGATGCTCAACGGAGGAGGTGTGCGGAGACCTAAGGGACGCCGACATCAATCCTTTGACGTCCGAGATGCAACATCAGAGGTGCAGGGGTGGAGCAGTAGCCGGAGCCGACGACGACGACGATTGCAGGGAGGAACGGAGACGACATCAGCGACGGAGATGGCAGGGAGGAACGAAGCTTCAACAAATGGTGATGGAGGATTTGGCAGTGTGCATCAATGAAAAAGAAAAAGGTGGAGGTGTTCTAGTGAGAAGAAAAGAAAGACGTGAATTAGGTCAGTTCCGTTATTTTTTTTCAGACGCGGATACAAGTCTGAAAAATTAAGAGTCTTTTATCCAACTCAGATGTATTTTTAAGAGGTTACCAAACGAGCTACATCTGAATTTTTAAGAGGTTACCTTTTAAGTTTTTAATTAAGAGGTAAGCCTTAGAGATATTATAAGAACCGAGATTTTTTAAATATTTATATTGTAGAATGATATTTTTATGTAAAGGGCATTTTGGTCCTTTTGACTATATTTAATATTGTAGGATGATATTATGTGTACTAGAGGTTTATGATATGTTTAGAAGTTGTCTAATGTGTTATGTTGGTTGATGAAAGGAATAGAGTTGACATAAATAAGATTGGGATTGAAAGGTTTAAAAAATGGAATTGAAAGGTTGTTTCAAGCCTCACCACGGCACGGTGAGTGAGGCGGTAATTTTGGTGTTTCTCTGTCATAAGTCGTGGGCAACAAGCTTTGTTCCGTGACGTGGTGTATGGGCATCATGGTGTAGTGGGCAAAGGAGGTTGCTAAGGAGAATGGTTGCTACAGCATGGCAAAAAGGGAGACTGTAGGTTCCACATAAAAAAATGTTGAAATTGATCTGTATAGCTCATTTAGGTAAATTTGTAAAGTACACAAAAAAATCATTACAACATACAAACAAATTTCTAGCTTCAGTATCAACCTCGATTGAAATCGGTGTATATAGGCAAATTAGGTTTTTTGGGTCTATGATTTATATGTTTTGATACATGAAATAGAATACATTTTTAGGCAACCATGGAATCACCTTTGTGGGTGTTGAAAAGTCCACGTTATGTTTATATTATGTCAAAATGAACAAATTGTCATTGTTGATGATTGTACAATTAAGCTTTGGGAAGAAGAAGAAAGATGTGGAGAAGACATAAAGGTAGTGAGTCTATAGTTGGAGGACCAAAAATGGAAAGTAAAAGAAATTTTTGGGTGCAATGACAAAATTACCCTGGCATACATTTTGTGTGAGGGCACTTTACAACCAAAATTAAATAGGCAAATATGAAATGAAGCTTAAAAATAAGCACCTTTCTTAGAATAAGATTTCTATTTTGACTAAGGGCATTGAACTTTAGCAATTCTTTAGAAGTCACTTTTGAAGTTCAACGATCATTGAACTTTTTTAAATATGTTTTATTAAACTATAATTGAAAAAATGATAAAGTTAAATATAAAATAAAATTTATAATGTAGTAATCCATTAAATTGTATAGAGTTTAATGTTAAAATGCCAAAACTAACAAAAGTGCATAAACACATGACCTTTCATAATGTTTACGCTTGTTAAATTTAACGATATAAGGACCAAAAATGTTATAAAACAATGAAAGAATGACAAAACTCGCAAAAAAAAAATAATAAACCTTAATAAATAATAGCTAAACACATCATATTTGTAATTTGCTTTATTATTTCTCGTTTTAATTTTTTGTGGCTCAAATCAAAGGACAAGCAATTCGAGACCCACATGGCAAAAGAAGAACCCATATTTCACCCTCAAAACAGAAACCAAATCCAGTACACCAATAAAACGATGCTGACGTGTACTCATCCTAATCCATCAGTCTTTGCAAATTCCATATATAACCCTTCAAGGCTCCAATCCTCTACCATCTACACACAACCTCTACATACCCCTCAAAGAAATGGCAACCGCTGCAATCCAACAGTCAGCATTCGCCGGCCAGCAGGCCTTGAAGCCACAGAACGAGCTCGTCAGGAAGACCGGCAGCTTCAATGGTGGCCGCTTCACCATGCGCCGCACAGTCAAAAGTGCACCACAAAGCATTTGGTAAAATTCACAAATCGATGTTCTTCTTGTTTCCAAATTCATATATCGCTACCAGAACTAACTAACTGTAATCACCATCTTTAAACAGGTATGGACCGGATCGTCCAAAGTACTTGGGTCCATTTTCCGAGCAAACCCCATCATACTTGACCGGTGAATTCCCCGGTGACTACGGGTGGGATACCGCCGGACTCTCAGCCGACCCGGAGACATTCGCCAAGAACCGTGAGCTGGAAGTGATCCACTCTCGGTGGGCCATGCTGGGTGCACTCGGGTGCGTCTTCCCGGAGCTTCTCTCCAAAAACGGTGTCACATTCGGTGAAGCAGTCTGGTTCAAGGCGGGTTCCCAGATTTTCTCAGAAGGTGGTCTTGACTACCTTGGAAACCCTAATTTGATCCATGCCCAAAGCATTCTTGCTATCTGGGCATCTCAGGTTGTCCTCATGGGGCTCATTGAAGGATACCGGGTTGGTGGGGGCCCGCTTGGTGAAGGTCTTGATAAGATTTATCCGGGTGGGTCTTTTGACCCGCTTGGATTGGCTGATGACCCGGAAGCTTTTGCTGAATTGAAGGTTAAAGAGCTTAAAAACGGAAGATTGGCGATGTTTTCTATGTTTGGATTCTTTGTTCAGGCTATTGTTACAGGGAAGGGTCCGATTGAGAATTTGTTTGACCATCTTGCTGACCCGGTTGCCAACAATGCTTGGGCTTATGCTACCAACTTTGTGCCCGGAAAATGAGTGTAAATTGAATCCTTTGTAAATTCGATAACTGCTATGCAACATTAAGAGATGAAATGAAGCTATTTTGTTGAGAAACTATTGCATTTCATATGATATTCCGTATGAATTCATTATTTCGCAAAGATGCTAAAAGAAAATTCTATAATTTGCAATAACAAACTATCTTGGAGTAACTCGCAAAATGTAATAGAAACAAATCATTGTACTTTGTATTATTTTTTGAAAAAATCACAAAAAGAGCCTTAGCCATTTTTGTGATTGACTTTTCAAGTTTTAACCAAAAATTAATCATTTTTTTTAAAATAGTCATCAAAATATAGGTGGCCACGAGTGCGGTGGACACTTTTTGGACATACCCATAGTGATAAGGGACGAGTTGCTTCTTCATGGAATGTTCCTCCATCATACACACCCCAATGAAACAATAGAATTAGACACAATAAATAAATAAAAATTTTCAAGTAGATACAGAGAAGATGTCATATGGAGTAGAGGAAGTTTGCTTGATTACGAGGTTTTATTTCGGTCGGTATCCATAAGCATCACAATATATTACAAAAGTCTTTAATATTACAAAAGCTTCATCGAAGTTTCGGCAACACATGTTCCTATAACATCAGGAGGTTACAGGTAATTAACACCTTTGAGTTTTGGTAATTCAAGTCTTTAATAATGAATTTTGAGGTGACCATAATGTGGAAAATGATGCACCACGACGTGATCAAAGCCAAATGAAATGTGCATTCATTTAGGTCTCCACTGTGTGGCAAGGGGCTTAGAGACTTTTGAATGTTGACTTTTATTTTGATCGTTGACTTTTGACCAAGTTGAGGGTCAACTTGAGGGTTTTAAGGCCATAGATTGAGGATTTTCCTCTATTCGATGTATAGGTGGCTCATAGTGTCGTTTCTTGCCTTCGTGTGGGCGGTGTTGACATTGTTAGCTTACGAGTAAGGTTTCTCGTTATATTTTGTACTAAAGTATGTATCCTTGTGTATAAGATGTTGGTATGCTATAGTGATCTGTTAGATTGGTAGATCTATATGATTGCATGTGTTTGTCCGTTATTGTTTATTTGTTTGCATATGTTGACATATTATGGTTGGGTTGAAATGGTCATGCTTTATGATGTAGGCCAAGATACACGGATGGTCCAAGTATACTGTAGGCATCACGAGGCGGACCATAAAGATAAGCCACGAACTAAGATTGATTCGAATCAAGGCATCGATATAAGGCCACGAACTAAGAATTATATAAGGATTTGAATTCTTCTCATTACTAAAGATACGCATCAGTCAGCATTAAATATTGATTTATCCTATAAATAACGGATAGCGGTTTCAAAGGTAAGTATAGGAAATATATTCGAAAAATAATATTTTACATAACAATTTTTTTCACAATATTAATTTTTGGGTCATGAGGGGGCCCTTAGACCCCACAAGTTAAGTGCACTCTACAACACTTAACTTTTCTAAAATCAAATCAAAAAATAAACTTCATTATAATAGTTAAGTGCACTCCACGGCACTTAACTTGTCTAAAATCAAATCAAAAAATAAACTTCATTATAATAGTTAAGTGCACTCTACGGCACTTAACTTGTCTAAAATCAAATCAAAAAGTAAACTCCATTATAATCTGTAAATTTTATCGTACTAAAATGAAATGAACTTTGACACTAAAATCACCAATATAATATTAGATAATATATACTTACTTTGATCATTCAAAGCAATGGCATGGTCAATCTTATCATTTGTTTTCTCACTTTCCCTCAGCTTTATGTTTCTTATACGAATCTTTAATTAAAAATTTTAACCGTTTAAAGATTTTTTTATTAAGAATCCTTGGATGACACTATGAAACGACATCCAAAATAAGTCAGAATCAAATAGATCTTCAAAACCTTCTATCTGAAACCTCAAAGAGAAGAATTAAAACAATTTTGGTTCAAATTTAACATGCTATTTTAGAATCTATAATGATCTGAACAAAGTTTTTCATAGGCCGATAGGCGCCATATGATTATTTAAAAAAATCATGTGAAATTATGGCATATTAACTAAATCTGATTCCGAATAAAATAAGTAAAAAGTGTAGCATTATCATAAGAAAAAAAAAGAGATTGGAACCTCTCATTAGGCATAAGAACCTTATTAAAGTCGCAAAGACAATCAAAATACCTAAGAAGTGACTGAAACATCGTCTTAATGTATTTTGTAATTACGTTTTGTCAATGGCGGATTCAGAAAGAAAAGAAAAAAAAGCTAGGGGTTACATAAATTTTTTCAGAGTTACACTATAAAAAAAATCATTTCTGAAAGCAGATTCCATCACAAAATTGTCAATTAACTGAAGAATTTACACTAAATTTACAATTATTAAATTTGTAATGGATTGCCAATGGATTTGTGATGGATTTCCTATAGATTTGTGACAGATTTTAACGAATTTTTACTAAATTTATATTTGACGAGAAAATTTAAAGAATAACTCATGATGCCCCGTGCAACATAGTAACTCCGTGTTTTTGCCTGTTGATCCTTAAGCGCATAAACATTAACAACCACTAATCTACATTTGATCCAACAAGAAGATCCACTAGACTAACATTGGGCTCTAACAGCTTAGCTGTTCATGAATCATGCCATGAGCATCACGTAATGGGCTGGCAGGTACTCGGGCCTTTCTTGGACAGTTTTATACGGGCTATGTCATTCTTGAACCAAAGATTCATTAACATCAATAAGTACTGTGTTATCTTACCCCATTATGGCATCATCCATTGGAATCATCTTTTTTCTATGAAGAAAAATCACTTGTTTCACATCTTCATATTCAAACCTTCTTCATCTACATAGCATAATTTGTTCATCAACAAGATTTACCACCTACAATCGTGTAACAAATACATATTCAAAATACCAAAGTACATTTTACCTCGAAATAAAACCCAAAATTGCAAGAAAAAACAATTTTCCTTTTAAAATTCTACTCCGTTTTGCTACATTGACCCAACAAATTCATAGGGTTACCATTAGCCATGTCATTTTACCGTTCTGTTACAATTTTTCACCTTCAACAGTAAAAAAAAACGCCATCAATCAAAATTACATCTTACCCAACAGTAAAAAAAATCAATCAATCAATCACACATTGCATCTCCCACTCCACCATCATTATCATGATTCTCACCCACAACACTCCCTAACATAATCGCCATCACCATCAACTTATCCGCATCAGGAAAACTCCTATGTTGCATCAATATCCCTTCAACAGAACCCCCTTCAACCCCATCTTGTCTTAAAGGCATCACATCTTCAAATCCTCCACTTTCAAAACAACTCCTCCCACTTCCATAACACTTTCGCGACGCCTCAAAAAGCGTCGTATCTTTCAAAACCTCCATTATTTCCTCATCACTCAACCCTTTCGTCACACACATTTCATTTATAGCCTCCCAATCGTCTTGATTCGCAGCATTTTTCCAACACTCTTCCAAAATTCCCGTATTGCCCTTGAGAAACGATACGCTGCTCCACGCAAACACTTCAAAAGGGTATAACGCGAGCTTCTTGTTTTGGATCCCGAGGCACAGGTGGATGAGGTCCGCCGATGGGAGAAGCTTATGGGCGATTTCGTCTTTTTCTTCCGGAAGGAGTTTCAGTATTTCTTGCTGCAATTTCAGGAGTCTTAAATCGGCATCAATCCTTTTCACTTTTGTGTTGTAATCATAATCACTGTTTTTTCCTGCCATGAGAGCTATCTTTGAGAGGTTAAGGAGACGCCTTCTGTCGGTCAAAGTTGGCTGGTTGACTTCAGGGGTGGAATTGTCAATATTTGAAAGTGAAAGGGCGTGAAGGGTTTCGGAAGCTGAAGGGAATTGATGTAGGAATATTTCATGAAGCCAAAGGAGATCTTGATGATCTTTTAAAAAGATAGTTAATTCTTCCGGAAACTCTTCACCAAGTCTCATGAGTTTGGAGAACTGTTTGTTGTTGTACATTTGTTTGAATACAAAGTTACTAAACCCTCCTTTTGGACCCATGCTATCATGCTGCAATTTTTTTTTTAAAAAAAAAAATCAAATTAAACAGATAAATAAAAACGTGTTTTAAGTTAACTTGTCTACATACATACCATTAGAGATCTGAGTAGTTCCAAATCATTATGATCAAAGCACAAATTCCAAAGAGTCTGATATCCTTCATGCCTTTTAGCAATAGCCAGTAAATTAGACGAAAGTTTTTGAGAAATCTCATTGTTTTGTTCTTGTTCTTGTTCTTTCACCAAACCCTAAAAACATAAATAGTATCAAATATTAAAGTTACAAATCGTAATTTGGATTAATTTTTTTTACCTGAGTTAAAACTTTGACTTGTTGATAAAGTGAATCAAGAAGTGTGTCTCTTCGACTCCAATACTCTTCCAATAAACCACCATGTTCTTCTTCACGTTCAACTTTAGCTGTAACAGCACCTGAATATGCCTCGAGTAAAACTTTAACAAACACTTCTAAATGAGAATGGAACTCCAGCTTTGAAGATCTATCAAGGGTACCCATGTCATTTAACAAATGAAGCATGAAGGATGCGAGAGTCCACATCCCGGATCTTACCACAGTTTGACAATACCATGGGGTTAATCCTTCCGGTGAGGGGTACCACATGTGATTCTCATCCTTATAGTTCATTGATGTAGTTAGTATTGTGACACACATGGTTGACAATTCACATGCTCTTTGGATTTGAAAAGGGAATGGCATCTCTTCATTTATTATGAGACTTAATTTTGTTTCCAAACAAAGGAAGACTTGTTCTAATTCAGACACTTTACTGTAGAACACTTCTGCGTTGTCTCTATCCATTAAAAGAACTGTATTTTGGCGGGATTTCTCGCCGACTAACTGAATCAGATCCCAAATGGAACCGGAAAGCTCGTTGACGGAATCGGAATCGGAATACAGGATTCCGGTTGAGCTCTGGTTCCTAATCATGTTCTGAAGCTCCCTGAGTTGAATCATGGAAGCTAGCTTTTCACCATGTTCCATTATGATCTGTAATGATTTCCCTGTTACAGGATGAAATTTGTAAATTTTAATTACTAATTAGTAAACCAAAAATGATCAGGAATCAGGAATCAGGAATCATACTCTGTTGAGAAGATAACCCTTCATGGCATTTAGAAAGAGCAAGAAACTGAAGAAACTTTTGATGTTTTTTCTGTTTATCCAAAAGCT